AAGTACGTGAAACGTTTATTTCCTCACACGTTCAAGGAGCAGCCGCGCCCCAATCGTCCACTCCCGGTCATCGAGCTTATGCGTCTTGAGCACGCCGTTGCATTTCGACGCTCATCTCAAGCCGTCATAGACCAGCTGCTCCGTGGAGAGTACGTCGCTATCGAGAACATGCGGCCGGTCACTCCCGAAGGCTCGATGCCCTCTACAATCCTTCCGCCGGTTCGTTGGCAGTTCCCCGTCTTGTATCAAGTCGTTAATAAAGGGGTGGGGCAGAGCGCCGTTCTTGAAGCAAAGGACTTTTTCATTCCCGGTCCCGACCGACGTGAGCTTCACCTGATCATCTTGGATCAATATGCAACCAACGTTACTAGCAACACACGAGGATTTGATCGCTTGCTTCTCTCCGTGAAGGACTTCGTGTGGGTTTATACAGTGGAACCCACCAGGGCAGCCCTTCGCGATCCGGAGACAACCCTCAGGCAAGCACGTATCCCGAAGGCAACCGCCCTAGATAGACGATTCCCGCACTTTTTCCGAGTGCAAGAGTTCACATTTGTGACTCCTCCGTTAACTACGCAGCGCTCGCTGGGCATCGTCCTCTCCCTCGTAGTTCGCTATGAGGCAATACAGGGCTTACGTATCGCTTTCGAAGGGTCTCCAGAAGCCGTTCACGTTTCTCCAACAGTTTGCGACTTTCCACTGTGCCAGGCTGACCAAGATGAGATAGTGTCGGCGCTTGTCCGACCGAATGTCTCTTGCGCAATCCGCTTCTCGGAATCTCCCGCTTCTAAAGATGCGCAGGCAATACTCTGTGCCCTTGTTCGTGATTTCTTGCCAGCTCACCCCGACGAAGGGATACTACCTCTAAGGGTATTCAAGCTCACCACGAGTGAAAAGCACTGGATCGCAGATCGCGCCGCCTCATTTTCCAATTACCTTCGGAACCCTGCAGCGGCCCGCAGACGCATGGCACAACTTTTTAACGCCGCCTGCTCTGCGCTAGTCGCGGTCAACACCATGAACGACGACAAGACTACCCATAGGCTTACCGCCACCATCCCAAATCCGACAGGGTTCCCTTTTCGATTCGATTTTGTCATCAGCAACATGTCGTCGGAATGTGGATGGACCAACCACCGGCCAGTTTACTTGTGGATCGTCGGATCTCAGTCGCTGATCCACGCAACGATCGAGCAGTCGGGACACAACTATGAAACTCGCTCCATAGCAGTACGCCTCGTTGTCCCAGCATGGGGCTATAGGTATGCAGTTCGCACCACCACCAGGTTGGCTACAACTCGTAACAACGTTACCGTAGTGGATGTGTGCGTGAAGTTGGGACCCTTACCCTCCGGAGCCGAACCGTTATACGAACTCATCTCGCACCGTCAGCTCTTCGGCCAGTTCGACGACGACTCCCGTGCAGCTATCATTCTCGACACAGTTTATGGGAACCGCCGAACTCTTACTGGGCCTGCTGGCCCTCCTCGAGAGTCTGTTTCTGTCGCCGTCCGCGGCCGCTCGTTCTCGCTGCGTTCTGACCAGATCGCAGCGCTCCAAATGGGCGATAGAGGCTTTCCGCTCCTCGCGATACAGGCCGCCTTTGGTACCGGTAAAACCTTGATTGCGGCGCTGATCGCCATTCGTACTTACCTCGCGGATGCCCCGAACAGGGTCATCGCAACCACGACAACTAATACTGCGGCGGCTCAGTTCACCGATACGACGCTATCCATCGATGCTGCAAGTGAGATGAACGTTCTGCGATACGTCTCCGATTCCGCTCTTGTCGAAGGTGCCCCCCGGACACCAGTGGATCTCCACGTCATCCTTA